GCCTAACCTATTCTAAAATTTAGCCAGAGTTCATCTTCGGTGCAGGGTCCAAATTTGGGTTTCAATTAGATTTCTTGATTCTGATTCGGAGTGACACTTATAGCGACGTCATTGAGCAGCACGATGACACCAACTACTACAGCTTTTGTGGGTGAAATTTTGTGATGGTTGTTAGTAGTTGTTAGTGGATGGTGATGGTAGTTGTGGTGATGGTGATATCGTCGTTATGCAGGTTTCAGTAGGTGTTTTCCCAATCGTTGGGTGATTTTTCTTGGGTGGTTGTTTTTTGGTGGTGATTGTGGTGGTGATGGCATGTGGGACAATAGTGTTTGAGATCAATTATTTGGTTGTTATGACCAATAAATTGAATAATTTGTAACAACTAAACAATATATGACCTATAAGAACATGTGATTGTGATAAAATTTGGAACTGTGATTCGGAAATTGGTAAGTTGTGACCAACTAATTCAATTGATAAATAATTTGTGATCAATTAGTTTGATAATTTATGACTGTAAAACAAATAATGACTTATAAAATTTGTGATTTGTAATCGATAAATAAATTTGACCTATAAATTTTTTAATTTGTAATCAGTGAATAAATTGTGACCTAAATTTTTTTTTATTTGTGATCGTGAAATAATGTGACCTATAAATTTGTTTATTTGCGATCGATAAATAATTTATAACCAATTAATTCGATAACTTATGACAAATGGTATAGAATTGTGATCTTAATATTTAATTTATAAAACATATTTTAAATTAATTGTTTCATAAATAAAATTTGATTAATATCTGATTTTTGAAATTTTAAACATTGTTTCTTAATATTGGGTCATACTTAGTCTCTTAAATGTAAAATTTTCCGCTTCCAATATTTTGGTTTCCCATTTTTATTAAATAATTGCCTTATCCTACTCAATTCATCTGCATCAATGCTCATGATTGACCATATTTTTTTCCACCTCAACATCGAACTCCTCGAGGTCCTTAACCCACAATTTGAACCGCACAATAGAATTAAATATTTCAGTAATTGGACTATTGTCTAATTGTGTCTATTGAGGCCGATGTATTTAACAATATTGATAAAAATGTAATTATATGATGATTTCAAAGTATGAAATCTTGTAGCTAACATTTAAAGTAATATATCAAATTATTGTCATTAATGTAACATTGTTTTAAAAAAACACTTAATTTGTGCACATAATAAAGAATATCAAACTCTGCCACTGATTGTCCTCCGACAGAAAAATGTTTCACTAGCATCCTTAGATTCTAGTTTACATGTCACAATCATTTGGTACATGGAGCAGCCCCTTTCTTTTACATATAAATTAAACCTAGTTACAAAATTTTATTTAATATTTTTCTCAAAACATGCTTTAACCATTATTTTACACTCATTAATCGTTAAAAATTATTCATGAGATTAATTTGAATTTTCAAAGCAAACAATAGTAGCACAATAATACATACATATATAAAATAAAATAACACCTAAATGATATTGAAAATTTTGCACCGCCACGATGAATACACGCCAGCATAACTCCCAATAACTGCCACAGGATAGATAATTACTGTTGCTCCCATTGGGTGAGACATTCTCTACTCATAAGAAAACCAGCGAAAAGCCTTCGCAAAAATACTGCCAAAAAAATGTCTAAAAGATCTGACATTCTGCAGAAGAAGGTTCAGGAACTCGAATCCGAAATTCTCCAGGTGATCCACCTTCCACCGGAAACACCAAGCCGCCACTTGATCTCCGAAGGGATTGAGCAGCGTTTCGTGTTTCTAAAGAATCTTATACCGGTGGAGATTTCATCTCAGCCGTCGAAGCCCCACTACCCGTACCACATTGCAGAGAAACTTGTCGAACTCGAGGCTACTTTTTGGGACTGGGATGAATGTAGAAACTATTTTGAGCTGAACAATTATAATTTCGATACTTCGTCGCTGGTATGTTCTGAATGCACTCGGGCGTGTAATTTGAATGGTGATATAGAGGCTGTTTGTGAATCGGATTTATCAAATGATGGCTTCCCGGTCGAGTTTTTCAAGGCTGTTGTGGAAGAAAGGGCGTCGGAGAAGACAGAGAAGGAGGCGCGAGTTTTGGTGATGGGAAAGTATTGCCGAATGCTGGCTTGTGGGATGATTCTTGGGGCCATTTGCGTGGTACAGTATGATCTTGTTGAACAAAATTTAGGTTTTCTTCCTCCTACATAGGAATTTTAGACTCTGTACTAAGTTAATGTTTTACTTTGAAATAATTGTGAGAGAATGTTGCATTATTTACACATGTATTTAAATATTATTTGCTTGACATTTTATTAATTTAAAAATAAGAGATGTACCATATTGCTTGTCCCTCTTTTTCACAAACTGGGGAATTCTACCCCTAGAATCTTAAAGGTTGAAATATTAAAATTGATGAAAACTTTAATTTTCTATCAATTTGTAATTGGATGAACAGTAAATTAGACAGCAAATCTCAACTCTAATTAACAAGGAAAAACATTCCTTGGATTCATATGATAACATGCGGGAGATCAGTTTACTATAACAATAATAGATTGAAGACTAGTAATACAATTTTTTTCGTACAGTTCTCTCTCACAAAGTTATATATCAACCTAAATCAAAATTCATTTACAAACTCTAAACAATATGTACCTCAATCGCTACCACCATCATTGGTGACCTATACTATCGCAACTACTACCATCATCATCTCACTTATTTTTGTCACCACCACCACCACTGTCTTCCATCACTTTTACATCTCACACCACTAATATTGTCGCTTCCACAAAATTCATTATAACACGAGCACTCTGCTATTCCTGAATAGGCTCTTGTGGTCTTCTACTTCTTTTTATGAGTTATTGACGAAAATTTTGTTTTTGTCGTTTTTGGAGGAGGACAAGGGTTCCATATCTTTATCGATTTTTCAATCATATATTTCATTATACTTTATCTAAATCTATCAAAAATTTAACTTTTATTCAAGTCATACGGGGGAAGTACATTAAAGTTTGTTAGTGATGGGACAATAATACCGTAGTGGTGAAAACGTCAAATGTGCGTAAAATTGTGTAATACGAATTAATTGTTTCAATAGTTATTGAATTTAGATCAATATCTTTGAATGATCATTGAAATTTAAAATGTCGAGTTTTAGTCACTAAACTTAGTTATGGTCTTCAGTTGCTTACTGAAATTTAAAATGTTGAGTTTTGACCACTGAATTTTGAAAAATATTATACTTTACTTCCTAGTATAAATTTAGAACGTTGATAAACATCTTGTTTACAATAAGTAATGTATAACATTTTTTAAAATTCAGTAGTCAAAACTTGACATTTTAAACTTCATGAGAAATCGAAACACATGGACCTAAGTTCAGTGACCAAAACTCGATATTTTAAATTTCAGTGATCAATCAAAAAGATGGACCTAAGTTCAATGACCATTGAAACAATTAACTCATATAATATACCTTGTTGAAATTGTGATGTAATAATAACAACAACAACAACAATAAAAACAACAACAATGTTTGTGTCAAGTACTTGTTAATAATCAATTTTTAATGGGCCCGTGTGGACCAGGACAGGGTGGCTACAATTCTCAACCACAATAATTCTTCTCAAACCCAAGCAAAACTCTTCTCAACCATCGATTGGGCCTAACTGCCACCAACCACAAAATTCCAGCTGGCATGAAAGGCGAGGAGAAAACTGGGTCCCATACAAACGTGGCCACGTCATACCGACATTGCTTACACGTAAAACGACGCGTATTAGGTGCTCAAAGTCGCAATCCACGTGTCTCTGACTCGAATAATCAATTAAACAATCAAGTACTTTGCGTCAGCAAATCTAAATAACTAGAATTTTATTTCAATCTATTAAATTTTTCAAAACAGTCTCATTTAAATAACTTCATATATATTAAAGTTTTCTATCTAAATATTTTGATTATTCAAAGAACAATTCTCACTTCATTAAACTCGAATAGCAATTCAATAATTTTTTTTTGCAATAAAGATCTCAACAATAGAATTATCATATAATTATATTATTAGAACTTTTCAAGACACCATCTCAAAGTCTAAAAAGTGTCATTCTTCGTATTCATTGGACTGACGGAATCAACTTGACTAATTTACCTTGATTTATTTTTTAAAGCATTTCTTGAGGGGAAAAAAATAAGAATTTGACTTTTTTTTTCTTTCTTTTTTTTTTCATTACTTGATCATCCTTCTAAGAAATTTCCTCTTTTTGTTAATAATAGGTATGTGACAAGAATTGTTCAACCGATTAACTAACAGCTTTGAAAAGTAGCGCAGTCAAATTGAATTAAAGGTTGAGATTTTCCACAGGGAATCGGTATCTGGTTTCAACATTAATTACCTGTAAACTTCCCCGCTGACCTTCTATATATACTTTTCCATCTTCTATAAACCTCCTTTCTTTTTCTCTTCTCTGCATCCTATACATACATTTTCTATTTTTTCTTTGTATTTATATTTTGTTCATATTTTCCACGGTCTGTGCCAGCATTTTCTCGTTCTGGTATCAAAAGAGGTGACTTTCATTTGCCTTTCCTTGTTTAGAATCTCGTTATTTGTGGATATTTTTTGTTTTTTCTTTCCTCGAAGGCTGTTAACCTGCATTTGTAAAATCTTCAATCTTTTTTCGATTCTTATTGGGTTTTCCGAATTGGGCTGAAGAAATTCAGTTAGATTTTTTTGTGCGCATATTCCATTTTATGTGATTGCTATTGGGATTTATTTGTTTTTTCTTTTATTTGTAATGAAGGATTGTTAAGCATGGTGGTTGTACATTTGATTTTTCCCATTTAATATCTGAAACGGGTATACTTTTGAAGATTATTTAGTGATTTTCTTCTTACGAAAATCTTAGTTTCTAATTAAAATTTTATGATCGGTTATATTGAATAATAAACTTGCAAAATCTTGATTATTAATTTTATTATACCTCTGCTGCCTCTGTATCTTTAAGAATTGAGTTCTACTTTTCATCTGGGCCTGAAAACCACATTTTTATGGAATTGTCAAAGTAATTTTGAGTTGGATACTGATGAAACTGAAATTTAGTTATTAATATATTTCTCCCAACGGCAAGACAGAAACGGAACGATGATTCTAATTCGTTTGCCATTGAGCTATAATGTGACGTGTTGTCTTCATATTTGCTTTCACCTCCATTTTTATATTTTGTCCTTTTCAAGTGTATTATTTTCCAGCTGATTCACTGTACCATGTAGGACCGCTTTATGTGGTTGCATATGGCATTGTTTCGTCTATGTTAAATTGATTAAACCTACTTCCTTTTGAGTACCAAAATTTTCCATGTTAAATATCAGCAATGTGATCCAATCTTTTAGGCCCTAGGACTGTCTGAATATGCACGGTGAACGTTTAGATCCACAGGTTCATATGTTTATTGTGTTTAATATATTTTTGCTTCCAATAAAGATATTCGATGGAGTTTTATATCTACCTTCTTGAGAAACCAGTGATGGTGATCTAGTCACTTGACAAGAAATTAGAAACTAATTATTACATCTTCCCTCTTAGATGTCAATCATCTTCTGTAGATGAATAATTGTTGCCAATTACGGAATGCAATATCCATCTCTGGTTTAGATCATTCAAAACTCACACTTCATTCTTCCGAAGGCTCTCAAATGATTAATAATATGAGCTCAACCTTTCATAGAAACCTTAAAATAAACCCCATTGATGAGCAAGTGATGCTGAGATTATTTGTAATGTTACATGTTTCCTCTAAATTACTCTTTTTTGTTGGTTTCTTGCGCTTTCTGTCAATTTGACTCTCGGGGAGATCTCTTTAGTCGTTAGATCTTGGATTTATTGTGTTTTCTTGTTCTATTATTTAGCTCTTCACCTCTCTTTCTTCGATCTGTGGCTTTTAGAGAAACGGTTAAGATTACATCTGATGTCCCTTCTACATTGAACTATAAGAGTGCCATTTTCAAACTTTCTGAAACTTCCTTAATTGGTGGGAGGAAAATCTATTCAAAATGCATTACCTTCATCACGTCTCTCAACAATTCAGTTGACTGGAAGAGAGGATGTAGAAATAAGACATTGACTTGGATTATTATGACAGTTTGGTTTTCAAGTTCCTCTCTCCAGCAATTAACAACTTCTTATGATCATTTTTCAGGTATCTTGTCATTGGTGGACAGCATTGATAAAGTTACTCCGAAGAGGTGATTTTTATTTGACTGAAGAGCTGATTTTTCCCTGTTCGAACAGTACTTATTTGGTCAATCCGAATGGATCTGAAACCAAATCATACATCGCCTATTCTTACTGATTCTGCTCTGATGAATAACTCGAGATTAGGCATCCATTCATCTCTTCTTCCATACTCACCCAATGGTTCAGTATTTTCTCGCTCTCTTTTGCTTACTATCCCGAGGAGAAGGCCTGGAATACTTGATGATGTTCGGTCAAGCTTGTTGGATGCCATGAAATCATCATCTCCTACTCATACCAAATTTACTAAAGATTCAAGCACGGAGTTAACATCAAGTGATGATGATGTTTCTTATTGCAATTGGATGGTAATCTTCCTCCTCCCATTTTATATTTCCCCCAAGTGTTAGCTTTGATTTTAGAAGAGACAATAATTTGTGTCCTGGTTGGTTCTGCAGTTAAAGTATCCATCAGCACTTGCATCATTTGAGCAAATACAAAATGTTGCCAAAGGAAAGCGAGTAGCATTGTTCTTGGACTATGACGGGACCTTATCCCCAATCGTGGACAACCCAGATCATGCATTCATGTCAAACGCTGTAAGATTCTTTCAAATGTCTTTTTTTAGGCAAGGGGAATGCATTTATTACAAAATTGCTCTTTGTTCACTTTGAGGTCTTCCTGAAAATTCGTAACTTGTTTACAGATGCGTGCTGCTGTAAGAAATGCAGCAAACCATTTTCCAACGGCAATAATTAGCGGGAGAAGCCGTGATAAGGTGATTGATCTGCTTCTCTTTGATGCTTAATGTGTTAATATCATTGCTTCAACTTAACCGTTGACTTCTCCTATAGATGTATATTGAACGTTTTCTTGTTCTTCTCATATCCATTTTTTCAGGTTTATGAGTTTGTAGGATTGACAGAACTTTACTATGCTGGAAGTCATGGGATGGACATTATGGGCCCTGTTCGATCTATTTCCAGCGACTATGAGAATTGTATTAGGTCATCTGACGAGCAGGTAATTATATGAGATATCTTTCTTTTGTAGGAATTTATTATCTCGGTTATTTAGTCCATGTGAACTCATTCTGTTCTGCTTGTGGGGATACATAGGGCAAGGAGGTTAATTTGTTCCAGCCTGCTAGTGAATTCTTGCCCATGATCGACAAGGTATGTAAATGTCATTGTAAATATATTGTCTTGGAAGATATATAATTTTTCTGAAGGTATTTACTCATGCCCAAGGCAGGTTTTTAGATCTCTGGTCGAAACTATGAAAGGCGTAGCTGGTGCAAAAGTTGAGAACAACAAATTCTGCGTCTCTGTACACTACCGTAATGTAGATGAGAAGGTATGTTATCTGGTTTCTAGGAATTATATTTCCGGTGAAATGCATTTTTTTGTTAGTCTTCTCTGATTATAGTATGCTCAACTTTGGTCTGCTTGCCTTGAACAATCACAGAGTTGGAAAATAGTCGGTCAATATGTTGAAGAAATTTTGAAAAACTATCCCAAACTACGGTTGACACATGGTCGAAAGGTATTGACGGCTTAAAAACTGCTGCATATCTTAACTCAAAAGTTCCTGTTTTTCACTAGTTCCATTTTCTACTTTCTCGTTTAGGTTTTAGAAGTTCGACCAGTGCTC